CGAGGAGGAGAAGAGAGAGAACAGTCAAAGGTATAAGGTAGCTAGGAAGGAGGCGAAGATGGCCGTGACGGAGGCTAAGACGACAGCTTTTGCTCATATGTATGAGGAACTAAGGAACAAAGGTGGGGAGAAGAAGTTATTCCGACTCGCTAAGGCGAGAGAGAGNGGACAACTCGGGATCTGGACCAAGTGAGGTGCATAAAAGATGACGACGACAAAGTTTTGATGGGAGATGACCAGATTAAGAGGAGGTGACAGACCTACTTTCATAAACTTCTAAGAAAAGAAGGGGATCGGGATATTTTACTTGGGGAATTGAGGAATGCCGACAGCCACCATGAATTAAGTAATAGTAGGGACATTGAGATCGACGAAGTCATGGAGGCAATGCGTAAGATGAGAAGGGGCAGAGCTATCGGGCCAGACGAAATTCCGGTTGAACTGTGGAGGTGTGTGGGTAGAGCAGGCTTGGAATGGCTTACTGCATTGTTTAGTGTTATATTCAAGACTAATAGAATGCCTGAAGAGTGGAGGTGGAGTACAATGGTCCCGTTGTATAAGAACAAAGGTGATGTCCAGAGCTGTAACAACTATAGGGGCATCAAATTACTAAGTCATACCATAAAAGTTTGGGAGAGAGTGGTAGAAATGAGAGTGCGAAGGACGGTGTCTATTTCAGACAACCAGTTCGGGTTCATGCCGGGACGATCTACCACAGAAGCTATCCACCTTATTAGGAGGATGGTGGAACAGTACAGAGATAAGAAGAAGGATCTCCACATGGTGTTTATTGATCTGGAGAAAGCGTACGATAAGGTTCCTAGGAAGGTCTTATGGAGCTGCTTAGAGGATAAAGGGGTCCCGAGTAACTATATTAGGGTGATTAAAGACATGTATGATGGAGCTAAGACTCGGGTTAGGACAGTAGGAGGCGACTCTGAACACTTTCCAGTTATTACGGGGTTGCACCAAGGGTCTGCGCTCAGCCCATTCCTATTTGCCCTGGTGATGGATGCACTGACTCATCATATTCAAGGGGAGGTTCCATGGTGCATGCTATTTGCTGATGACATTATTCTAATTGACGAGACAAGAGGCGGCGTCAACGAGAGGCTAGAGATTTGGAGACATGCTCTTGAGTCTAAAGGTTTCAAGTTGAGTAGGACGAAGACGGAATACCTCGAGTGCAAATTTGGAGTTGAGCCGACGGAAGCGGGAGTTGAAGTGAGGCTTGACTCTCAAGTCATTCCCAAGAGAGGTAGTTTCAAGTACCTTGGATCGGTTATTCAGGGGATCGGGGAGATTGACGAGGATGTCACACACCGTATAGGGGTGGGGTGGATGAAGTGGAGGTTAGCGTCGGGAGTCTTGTGTGACAAGAAAGTGCCACCGTTACTAAAAGGTAAGTTTTATAGAGCAGTGGTTAGGCCTGCCATGTTATATGGAACTGAATGTTGGCCGGTAAAGAACTCACACATCCAGAAGATGAAAGTAGCAGAGATGAGGATGTTGAGGTGGATGTGCGGGCATACAAGGATGGATAAGATTAGGAATGAAGATATTCGAGAGAAGGTGGGTATGGCCCCCATGGAGGACAAGATGCGGGAAGTAAGACTCAGATGGTTCGGGCACATTCAGAGGAGGAGCACTGATGCACCGGTGAGGAGGTGTGAGCGACTGGCTGTAGTGGGCACGCGGAGAGGTAGAGGGCGACCTAAGAAGTATTGGGGAGAGGTGATCAGACAGGACATGGCGCGACTTAGGATTACTGAGGACATGGCCCTTGACAGGGAATTATGGAGGTCGAGCATTAAAGTTGTAGGTTAGGGAAAAGTTGTGAATATTTCTACAGCACAATAGAGTGAGACTAGCCAGTTAGGAGTTAGACTAAGAATGTCATTGGTCGGCTATTGATGCAGGGTTTTACCTAGTAGTTTTACTATACCAGCCATCTATTTCATATTTCGTATTCTGTATTTCATATCTCTTATATTACTGTTATTTTATTATGCATTTTTATGGCACTAATATATCGGCTCCTGTTGCTTTTTTGAGCTGAGGGTCTCCTGGAAACAGCCTCTTTACCCTTCGGGGTAGGGGTAAGGTCTGCGTACATATTACCCTCCCCAGACCCCACTTGTGGGATTATACTGGATCGTCGTTGTTGTTGTTGTAGTCTATTACTGAAAATCCTTGCATTAGTAAAACCTTAAAATGCCATAAACAAACGCACAGTTGATATACACTAGCTAGTTTCATTATACTACCAACTCAGCTAAAACACCATTTGATAACTTGAAAAAAAATGCTAAACTTAGAAAGGTCTAATAAGAACAAAAAACTTACGGGAATTAGGCTATTGCTAAGAAACTCTTCATATAAGGCATAGGAGTATACCACAGTCCCCATCCGCTCTGGCGTGGCGGCAATTCAATTCTCTTCACTGTTCTATGATCTAAATTATAAAGAAATAACCCTTGACCCAGCAAGTGAAGCAAAAGTTCACCTTCTTGGATGTTCAAAAGCTTTATCCGCCCACAAATGTCGCTGGTAAGGGATGAAATTTCCATGAAATACAAACTAAAAGGGAAAATTCTCTCATCACAGAGATCAATATTGTACCTTTTGATCCATATACGCATTTCATAGTCCTTCAAGATCCATATATCCACTACATAGTTAGAGATAAGCAAGTTACAGAAACACAAACTATCATCCTTCACCAAAAGAGTCATAGTTCGATGCCTTCGCTTTGAGTTGCACATGCTTCCAGGATGAGGGATAGTAGAGAGTTCTTCCTTATCCATTCTGAAAACCATGATTCCGTTTGCACAAGGAGGAATATCTTTCTTTTCTAAATCGTGGTCCATGATCCAATGCAATGCTCCACTCACAACTGCTGGAGTGTCACCAGATGACAAAAAGTTGAAAGAGGAGGACGAGCGAATTTTCCTCCATGTCCACTTCCTAAAAATATATACAAAATACTGACAACAACTGCCTCGTACTTGGGCATAAAGAAGCCTGAATTGTCTTGTGTATGGACAAAAATAAAGCGCACATAAGTAGCCGGGGTGAAGTGTATGTTGTACAGCTACTTCTTCTTGTGTTATCGGGTTAAAAGCATAATAAGTAGACTGCCACTTCAAGTCACCAAACAGAAGAACTCCTTGACAAGAGTACGTAAGAACAAGTTGGTGATCCCAATATTTATTAATCATAAGCTCAGGTCTGAGATATAGTTGCTTGAAGGCGACCTTCTTCTTATTATTAAGGTTTTCACCAACAACATAAAGATCTTGCCCGTGCTTGATAGTCAAATAATCCTGTAAGAGAATCAGGGGTCTACTAGCTCTACTGAGATCATCATATAAGGTGATAAAATAGTCATGTGATGAGACCAAAGCTCTCCAATGCCTACAAACCCATCTACATCTAAGAAGAGAATATGTTGGAAGTCTACTTAGAATATCAATGATGAGACAATCAGGCAAACGTTCGAAAGTTTCAGTAATTTCTTCTTCACCTTTCCATATTGCAGGAAATAGTGAACCCAACAGTTCTGTAGTCCATGTGAAGCATTCCATTGCCATGGCCTATAATATAAAGCAGAAAATCAGAAAAATAATGGTTGCTTGGTATGACAACAAAATATGCATTGATTGATCGAAAGAGAAACTACAACTTTTATAATGAGCTCCTCCAGAATTTTCAGAGAGGTATAACCATATAATAATAATAGAATAAGAAGCTCAAATCTTAAAATATGAACCACGATTGCACTAAATAGCATGGCCTAATCATCAATAAAGTTGAAAAAAAATCATGAGGTCTCTCGTTCAAATTTCAGCAAAGACAAAAAACACTAGGTGATTTCACCTCATTTGCCTAAGCTTTGGTGAGCAGAGCTTCCCGGTAGCAGGTACCTACCCTTCAGACACCACCGTAGTCAACAACAAAAAATCAAAAAAAATGGACCATGATTAAAACATTTAATTTTTCGGATTGGTAAAATTTGATATATGCTTGATCATGTGACCAAATATAATCACGAGGTCTCAGAATAGTGATTTATTCGAATTTTTACTAGAAAAAAATATACTAAGAAACCAAGGGATTCAACATCTAGTATAAATACATAAAAAAAAAATAAAAAAAAAAATTAATTTTACATGTAATTTATGGTCTCTAGCTCCGCCCCCAATCCAGCTGACCACATCATCGATATAAAAAGATACACACATACAGCTAGAGTATGATGAAACATTGGGTAAAGGAACTTACACTTGTTGAACGGAAAAGCAGCGACGGCCACTGAGAAGGGAAACTGAGGTACTTGTGGATTTCGCTTTTGTTAAATATTGATTGAAGGAAAACTATAATCACACTTTAACCCCACAAGTCAAAATTAAAAACGACATATTTTGAGTTGGTTTTGGTTTGTTTATTTAAGAAAAATATTAGGCAGAGACAATTATGTTTGGATTAGAATTCGGTTTCCCTTTTGTTTCGGTTTATAAAATGTCCTTTTCTGATGAAAATATTGATTGAAGAAAAACTGAAATCACGTTCTAACCCCCAGAAGACCAAAGTCAAAACGACATAGTTTAGTTGATCTAGTTTGGTTTTCAATTAAAAGATTCACAATATCTGATTTGGTAACCTATTTAAGAAACCGTAGAATCAACCCAACCGTAAAAAAATTTATAACTAAGTTAATGGTGCTTGCTTCAATTTTATGCTCGTCCATATCAAAGTTACTAGTTTTACTGTACACGCATTGCACGTGTAACTCGTCTCAATAAGTATAAATTTTGTTAAACAACTGCATAAATTTAATACTATTAAAAATCGTATTTGAGTTATTATAAAATAAAAGTTAAAATTTTTATAAGTTCACGAAAATAATGGTTGTTGTTCTTATTTAGCTAACCCAAGGAACAAACCCCGTTTACAGATGTTTTTAATCATCTCAATCAGTTTGTTCGACTTATTAATTTCAATTTTAAAATTTGAACTTCAATTTTACAAATTATAATACTTCCTTTTTAGTTTCAACAAGAATGCTTCTTCTTCTTTTTTTTTATTTTTTTGGTACACAAATATTTTAAGTTTAAATGCAAAAAAAAAAAAAAGATCTACTAACTCACACAAGATGTCTGTTTTTTGCCGTCAAACAAAATAAAATTTACTCTATTCCTATTCAATGACAAATACTTTTTGAATGTTTCTAACAAATTAGAAAGAATAAAGGCTTGAAATCTCTATTGCAAAAGTAGAAATTGGTAAATTTTGGTTAATTTAAGTTTCTTATTTTTATTTTTGAGAGATCTTTCATTCTCTGTCCAAGGACATAATTATGCATCCAAATGTTCTCTTTTTTATAAAAGGGAGAATTTATGATTGAAAACATGTTTAGAATTTAATACCATCCAAGCATATGATGAGTGAAAATATAGGATTCATGCATGTGAATATCAGATTAATTATTTTTTTTATCAATTATCACAAATATAGTATTTTATTTTTGTGTGTCTACCATCAGTTGACATTTAATTTGAATTGAAATTTTTTAAAAGCAAATTCGATTTACTTTAAAACATATATTTAATTGTCTATATTACGAAAAATACATTTTTGTCTATATTTAATTCTCAATTAAATTGAACCATTTAAGTAGTAACTCCAATTTGATTCAAAATAATGTATTTAATTGTCTATTTTGTTGAAAAATATTTTTGAGGAAATATACTTTGCTTGCTTATTTTTCTTAAAATATTTTTTATGATTTTTTCTCTTTTTGTATTAATTTTCTACTTACATGAAACATATTTATAAATGGCGCCTTCTAATTTTAACCTTACATTATTTTATTATATTCATGTATAAAATGGAAAGAGCTTTAATATTATTTAGATTTTTGCAAATATTTTTTATTCATAAAGTTATTAAAAAAAGTATTAATTTTGAGCTCACTTTTGGACAAAGGTTGGTGCAATTATTATTAATAGATTTCAACCGTAACATTACATTGGCATCATCATAGAGATGTAATTAATCTCATAAGGAAATCGTTATTCACTTTCAAGTTTAAACCGATATTTTATACCTAAATTAAAGAACTATTTAACGTTAAGTCTGGTGTTTATGGATTAAAGTAAAAGTATTATAGTTAATATTACATATTATCCTAAATATTAGGAGTTTGTACATAGTTCAAATAAGGAAAATATTTAATAACCTGAATTCTAATTGATTTCAAATTAGTCCTAAATAGTAGTAGTTGTCGCACCTCCTTTTTCCCGCGCCCGCGGGGCGCGTGGGGAGTTTTCTCCAATTAAAGGA